AAACCGAAATTAAGGTTTATTTTGTCATAGTAATTTACCAAGATAAAAGTAATTATACAGTCAACAGAATATAACTATTTAAATTCATTGAATGCGATTAAATATTATTATAAACAGTGTTATGGCTTAGTAATTTGAATAGGACTCTGACAAGGATTTCAAACAAAAATTTAGTGTCCATACACAAACAGGTTTGGTCAGTGTTCAAATATTCATTATTCTTTGGAACTGAAGTATACTGGTAAATACTAAAATAATCATTTCATGATAGGTTGTTAATTGATGTATTCAAAAAGACTTTTAATACATATATATTGAGATTAGAGGGTGGTCGGAGGCAGTCGACAGGAACCCTGGTTTCGTGCTACTTGGCACTCGTCAGCAAGGTGTACCTGTAATCTTGAGGGAACTGGTACTCCCTGGCTGATTCGATCCCTGTCACTCAGCTTCACAGTCAGAGACGTTACCACTGAGCTATCCGGGCCGTGATTGACCACATGTAGGACTGAGATGTAATCATAGTTGATTGATCACTGGGTGGTTATCAATGTCATGTGTCAAGTCCTTATTTAGTGCAGATCGAATGCTATCGACCATGTTACAATGTGGCCACCAGTCTAGGTGACTCGACACTGCGTGCACTATATAAATTACATAATTTCATTTCTTTATTTTGACTTATTAAATAACCTTAGCATCAGGTAGACCGAAGAGAATTGGAAATCATATATTCACTTTTCAATTACATAGTCTTAATACTATTAAATCTATTCATATAAATATATGTGAAAACTTAAATACAATCACTAATTACCTACAAAAGTACATATTTATAAAGAGAAGATATAATTTTTGTTTGTTTGTTAGCTAATGTCTAAAATAGAAAAGTCATTTAAAGAATTATTTTAATATCACACATAGCTATATTACTTTTTAATGGTCAATGTACTCAATAGAATAGACTTATTTACAAGCATATACGTTCTGTTCTTTTATCTAATGAGAAAATTTTTTTAAAACTTGTAAACACGTTTTCTTTTTTTTTTAGAAAAAATAATGAAAAACAATAACAAACACCAAAGAAATAAGAGGATAGAGAAAAAATAATAATAAAGAGGTAAACTGTAACTAAGCAATTCACTCAATAAAGTTATCATTCTATGCTTTTTTTCGAAAAAAAATATTTTTTTAAAATTAAATTTTCCTAATTACTTTTTTAATTTAAAGGAGAAATTTGTTATTAAATCTTGAATGATACATTTTTGTTATTTGTTTATTTATTTATCATAGAGTACCCTGAAATAAGGTACAATTTGGCTTAGTAACTCACATATATAAACACCTAAATATAACATACATTCATTTTTTGTTTTATTTTCACCTTTTTTTGTTTGAAAAGGAATACTGATTATTAAACTCGTTAAGAATTTTTATAGTTTGATGTGATGAACAGTTTAATGATGATATTTTTTTATGTGACTGTTGTTTTGGTTGGATTATTGAGGTATACAATTGAGATTGATAAAAGAAACTTGATTTGCCTTTTATATTATTTGTAGGTGTGTGTTTACCTATGTTTACTTGTATACCTGTACACACAAACAGTCGAAAATTTTGATCTTTGAAAATGTATGTATATGAATATATATGGATGTATAATCATTTATTATAGGTTAGGTATAAAATAGTCACCTATACTTTCAACAAGGGTCTATGTTAATTGGTTAATATGAATACCCTTTTAGTTATTTGTGTATACATGGGAGAATTTATTCACAACACAATATGTGGTTTATGTATATATGTGTGAAATCTTCCTTCTTTTTGAAGAGTTGATTATTAAAATCATCTACTTTCATTATTCCTGAGGGAAAGTGATGAGAAATTGACTACAGTCCATATGGTTAAAAAGTAAGATAACTATATTTTAGTTGATAATCTGAAATTTTTTATTTTAATGTTGACGATATATATCATGACTATTAAAAAAATAATTTTTGTAACATATCTACGTGGTACTTTTTATTTCCTAAAATGGATTGTGTAAAGCAAATTCAATCTTGCTTATCACCTATCAGAAAGTTATATCCGTTATTTTCGTATAAATATTTAGAAATCTAAGATTTCCTTGTTATAAAACTGTGTGATTAAAAAAGTTATGCAACCTCTATTGATTTTTAAAACAATGAATAACGCTTTAAGAGGTCAATATCCCCACATGACTAATCTTAAAACAAATCGTTCTACGGCTTCTATCACATTAAATATATTCTATCACAACTTGTAATTAACTAAAATGTACTCTGAAATTGTTACAGGATATTAACAAGACTTTAAAACTTATTTGGTTAAGAGAGACGGGTCATATCATTATGAAGTTTTCATTGTTGCTCTGTATGCTTCAATAAAAGTAAGCATGTCATGATGGTTTATTTTTTTATTATTACTCGATTTAATAGTAGTCATCCCCTATGGCTTTAATTTGTTCATGTGGTATTTATTACTGAAAGTAAGGAAGATGTTTGAAAATAATATCCATACAGTATTTAATATAAGAAAAACAGTTGATGATACTAATGTGCAAAAAAATAAATATTAAATGACTTAAGTTACCGACGGTTAAAAAGTTTACTTAATCTAGCTAGTTATAAATACTGACTTTAAAGAACTTTTAATTCACATCTTATTGGACTATCAGTACACACGTGAAAAAGGTGAATCATGATGCCGGTTTTCATAATTAATATAAACACTGATCAGTGTTTACGTTAGGATGTCAAGATAAAGTCAAGAATAATCCAAGACGGGATAAAATGATGTCAAAATAAACATAATTTATACAAGGTTTATTCAGATTTTAATAAAAGGACTCATCAAAAGCTGATTTAGTAAACAAATATTTTATCTTTTTTTATCTATCTAGCTTACATGTATATTAAAATGTAGACATTTACTATAAATATGTCAATATTTCTTAAGATTGAACAAACTGAAGTTATTCTTAACCAGTCAAATGATTTTAACTTAAACTTAAGAAATAACCATTTCTAATTTTAAACTAATCTGCTCTAAATATTTCCATTAAAGAAATCTGCATTATTTTTAATTACATAGTTCACAGCCATCCATATATTTCATCACTTATATTATCTATTCAACATCTTGTGAATCCTATTCAACTACTTTAAGAAATCCTGGTCATTCTTATATAAAATTTGTATAGTTTTTAAGAGATCTTTTTTTCTCCTAAATTATCGTCTATTATGATTACTATAGATAATAATCATACAAGTCAGAAAACATTTCATTTATTATACGGTATAACAAATTTTGGCTACCAATGATAAAATCAACTACCCAAGTGATACATTGTATCTACGGTAACATTTAGGAACACATTTCAATAACTTAAATTTAAATATTTAGATCAGAAATAGATTTATTTGTACGTTTCATTGCCTGAATATAAAGTATGTTGTAAATGTTTATGAATGTATATACATCGACCATAAATTTCATTTATAATGTATTTGTCTTGAACTACCACATTGTAAAAGATGTACGTGAATTATTTTTATTTTTACATAATCCGTAAAAATTTTATAAGCCTGTTAAGATTTCACTAGAGCTAGAAATAGTACTTTCGGTTTTTAAAAATGACAATTGAAAGGGTTGGTGAGAAAGAATTAAAAAAAACAATTTTCACTGTACTTTTTTTTCACAAGAGTTAAGTATAAATTTTAAACTGAAATCTTACAGGAAATAATAAATCACGAAAGTGAAAAATCGTCATATTTCTTATTAGTTCTATTATGTATTCATGGAAATAAATGTATACAGATATCTATGATTATAGTATTATTACTCAAGAACTGTTAGCTGTAAATCAACATTTCATAGTACCGATGAGAAATTTTTTCATTTCTATGAAACAAAATAATATGGTCAAAAAGTGTATCTTATTTTGAATGTCAATACATTATTTGAGTTTATAATTTTTGAATGTTTTACTGTGGTTCTTGTCAGAGTAAAATATTTAGACTCCGGTATCTTTATACCGTTCCTTAATTATTTTAAAAAAAATTAATACCTGACGATACTTTCATCGCTAATTATATGGTTGATCATTTTGCACCACTGGATTGATCACTGAGTAGTGACTAGTAACATGCTTATCTAGTCTTTTAGTGACGACCAAATTCTATCAGTCATATTGCATTGTGACCAGTAGCCTAACTAACTTGACAATGCATGGTCCATGATGTGATGTTAGATGATAGAAGATAGTCGATAAGAAACAATAAGTCTAGGTTTGACGCTGGTTGACACTCTTCAGCATGGAGAACCCGAGATCTTGAGGCAGTCGATTCTCTCTGCAGAGTTTGAACTCATAATGTAATGAACAAGAACATAAGTGGGGACTTTCGAATGTATCTGAACACAAAATTACAATCAATCATCTCAGACTTCATTGTTCCTTTGTTTCCATATCAATCATTTTTGTTCTCGTTCTCTTTTCTTTGATCTTCTTAACGTTCTGCATCCAGGCATTTCAGTTTCGGTTGATGATACATACTACTCATCAGTGGCACACACCACAATAACACTAAGATTCAAGATCTAAATTGTTACCAGTGGTTTACTAAAGCCGTGACGGACCTCCTTCTAGCGCTAAATCCAGGGTTTTCTGTTGGTTACTTTCAATCACAACGTCTAGTCATTGTCTCCATAGAAACTACTTGAAAATTAGTAACGAACTAAACTCCGCTCAGTTGACTGATTTTCAAATAATACTGAAGTACTAATTAATCTAAGTTGTCCAGTATATTTACTGTGCCATGTATTTATTTTAGAAGTTCACCTCTTTTAAACGTAACAACTTTATTCTTATAGATGGATGATAAATTTATTTTATTAATTTTAAAGATTTCATCTGTTTAATATATAATAACCAGTGATGACTTTCCTTTAGAAGTTTGATTTTATAATTCTTTTTAAGCATACCTGGGTAGGTAACTGAATTTTACTTCAGGTTTATAGTTCTGAATATACACAAATGAGTTATCAGAGGAGACTTCATTTTTATATTTTTTATTGGCTAGTGTCAGAATGTTTACTTGATTTTGTGGGCTTAGATTCATTGAGTGATTTTGACGAAAGCGTGTGCACTGCATTATCAAAGTAGAGACATTAAAGAGCTGAGCCATACACTCTTTTCTCAAATAACTTAACAGTTGTCAAAATCAACGCAATCAATGTCAATTTTTCAATATATATTGGTTTTTTGAAACTTTGAAATCCAAACCCTTTTTTAATGACTTGCTGGTCAAGTTTAGAACATATTGCTATTCGATATTTTTGAGTGGTTTGCATGTTACCATAATGACTTATAAATAATGAATGGATCGTTGGGGTCAGAGAGGAGAGTTGTATGCGATGTAAATCATTGTTTCAATTTATACCAGATCTAATGATAACTACTAGACCTTATTTGATAGTTTGTCCAAGTAGTATTCTTAAATAAAACGTTATTACCTTCACCAATGTTCATACTTTTTTCTCTACCTCTGAACCTAGTAGTATTTCAACCATATCACATCGTTCGATAAGACATTAATGGTTGGAAACATTTGATTACGTTGGCTAAACAAGCTTGACTCTTAGTGAGAAAAGACACACATCCAGTAAGTAAATATACCCATCTAAGTTATACAAAAGTGCAAAGATTTGAGGAGTTCTAAACAGTGCATATGAAAATCTAGGCACATAAAACGATCCTAAAAGGAGCAAACCTTGTTCTATATATTTTATAACACACTATTGTTTCTATAATTCCGAAGTGTTTGAAAAAGTGAATCTTCAATTATGAAAACAAAGTGAATATTTCTGATGTTAACGGTAAACAGAGTATTTATCTATCCTAATTTTTTTTTCTACAATAATTATTATAATTACAAATCATATAAATAGTTTAGAATATAATTGTGTAATATTTTCCTGTACTGACACGTGAAGTCCAAGTTTTAACTACATTCAATGGGTCGAATTGACCTCATTATTGATGAAATACGTTTTTATTCACGTAAGGTGAGCTGAGATTAAGACCAAAATGATCACATTTATTACGCATAAAATTTTGAAGTTATCTACAAGTTCTGAATGTATGTGTAAACAAACTTCGTATGAGGGTTGTTTTAAATTACGAATTTGAGTATACTCAGTAAGTGTCAGAATTTGATATAAAAAAGTATAATAAATTTCTAAAGACGTTTGATGATTACGTTATTAAGCAATAAATAATAATATAGTCTATTTTCATAACCCAATCCGTCAAGTGAGGGATTGAGAACAAGAAAATTCACAACATTTATTTGTTTGATGTCGATATTTTTTAACGTAATAGAGTTTATTATACTAAATTATTGAATACGAAACGGTCATTTATCGATTAAAACACATATCACCATTGGTAGATCATAGTTACGAACCTTACTCCACTTTATTTAGTTCAGATAATAGTACGGTATCACTGCCCTAATAAAAAAAATAAAAAGTGGCTCAAAGCCGAATAAAAAAAACTTGTATGTTTTAAGTTATGTTGTTCAAATACTAGGTACGTAACTTAACAATATAGTTCACCACTTGATTGCTTTTCAAACCTTTCTAAAGGTACTGTATTTAGTGAAATACTTTCTGGTTCAAATTTTTTTTAGAAACCTTTGGGCTTTAAAAAAGACGTGCAATGAAAACGGTTTGGGAAAGTTTTAGAATTCAATACTAAAAACTGTAAAGAATCATTGATAAGAAATTTTCACATGTAAACATACATGTAACTTCAATACTTATAAAAAAAATCTATATGACATATATAATGACTAACTAAAATAGCTATATATATTCAATCATCAAACGAATTGATTCGTAATAATTATATACATTAAAGTTTTTATAGTTTTGAAGGAAAAAATGAGTTTAGTTTAAATCTGATAAAAACAGTTTCCAAACTCAACTAAATTATAATCATCATGGTTATATATATATCTTGTCGACATTTCATTCAGCTTTAAGAAATTTTTCATACAATCGACAACAACAACAACAAAAAAAGAGTCATTTTGATCATATTTATTCAACCAGAAAATTAATTCATTCCAGGCTATTTGATACACAAACAAATAATTTCAATACTTATAGTATATTGAACAAACTAAGGAGATAATAATAATAATAACCAGGTAAATTTAAACAATACGAATAGTAACACACTGAAATGCATTACATATTTACTTAACATGTTAGAATGAATAAAATCAAGTAACTTACTATAATTTATTTAACTTGAGGGCATTTTCATCTCAATTCATCATAATATATTATGTAATAGATAACATGTATCTATATTTATTATTAAATAATTCGATAAGGCAAGTGTTATTTCCATATAGTTTGAGGTTTAACAATAATTAACTTGTAATATTTAGTTGTCTTCATAAATCATTAAGACCAAATATGACGCAAAATGTTTGTTTTTGTTTGTTTATTTGTTTTTTACTTTAAACTTAGATGGGACTATAATTTATGGACGACCTTAGAGAGAGACGCTGAACTGACCCTGATAGTGTCTTTCTAATAAATAGGATTAAATGAGGGTTATAAACCTGTGTGAGGACTTCGAATTGTGATTTACAATTGACGGTTAAGGTTAGGAATTATAGTTAGGGTTTATATCACGAAGTGACAACAGTTATAATGCCAAAACTATATTTTGCCAAATGGATGAGTGAATTTCGCGCCAAAATCCGAGACCTGTTATTTTATACCTGATTAGTTCGTTCATAAATTATAGTCTCGCCTAAATTTGAATTTTAATATTCACAAGTTTCCAGGATACAGTAAGTTTGCTTAATAAAAATCAATTTGAATAGAATTAATATTCCATGAAGATTTATCAGATTATTTGAATAATTATTGTAGAGTTGGAAATATATAAAGAAATCTCCCTAAACAATTGTTTTAGTCAAATATTATGATTTTCACTTTTAGCTATCAATGATTTATCATTTGTCACATATTTTGAGTCAATGTTTACATTACTACTGAGTTTATTTATTGCGTTAAAGTATATATGTATATGTATATATATGCTCACTCCGGGACTCTAACCCAGTACCGTTCGCTTCAAACTCTATTGCATTCTTCACTTAGCTACTGAGTCCTGATAGTCACTTGCTTGTGCAATGTGGTGAAATTAAATTCACTTTGTCTTGTTTCACTTGCATCTTTCCATTGTTATTTAGGACTGTAATCAACCAGTCTCATGCTGGCATATGTGCACCCTGTGTGTATTGATTCGATATAGCGTTAAATCACAAGCTTTTTAGGCTGGCACATCCTGCTGACGAGTCCCAAATAGGACGAAACCCACGTCCTGGATCCTCTAGCTAGCCACTATCCATCTTTGCTTAAAAAGCTTGTGACTTAAAGCTATATCGAGGCGATCCTCACAGAATGCACATATGCCAACAAGAGACCGATCAATTGCAGTCCTGAATAACAATAGGAAGATAAAAGTAAAACAACACCAAGTGAATCTTGAAAGAATTCTTTAATTGTGATATTCCATTCACCAGTATTTTTATATATCAATATAATAGGTTATATTTGATGAGTAATATATCAAACAAGGTAATCACCATATGATTATATTCAAAGAAAAACCGGTCTTAAACCCGAATTATTTGTTTTAATCCTTATTTCTATTATTCTTTCCAAGATGTTTCTTTTTGAAATCAAGGTTATTAAGTACATATTTTTGCTCTGAAAACATGAGTTTATTGTGCCCATAATTTGTTTGTTACCATTTTTTCATTTGTTATAGAACAAAAATTAATTATATCTAGTAAGAAATAATATTCGTAGTAAAAGGTTTTCCATGGTGGTCTAGTTTCAATTGACTCATGACTTCAACCAGTGAAAAGAATTTTGTTTTGTTATTGATTTCATTATTGACAATCAAGTGAATGTTAGAATTAATGAGAACAATTGAGCAACATTTCGTTTTCATATAAGGACATAAATCATTACAACGATTAACTGGTATACTATTGAAAAGAGCGAATAGTATACTTCGATTTCAGAACTAAAGCATTATAAATAAAGATGAATAGTGACTAGCAGTAAAATCCTATTTGAGATTATTCAGATGTATGTATCCGTATTCTAGTGATGATGTTCACACGAGGACTCGAACTCAGTGCATTTTGCTTTAAACACCACTGAGCTATTGAGTTCAATTAGCCATTAGGTTTAAACAATCACAAAATTGAAAAGATTACTGCGTAATGCATAATATCATAGCAGTTGAATATCAATTTAACAAAACAACTTCATAAAACGATAAACGATTCACACGTATATTGTACTAACCAAGATCTGTAAGCAAGTTTTGAAGTCAAATATCCTATTTATTACTGGCTATTAAATCAAGAGTGTATCACATGTTTAGACGATATACTATATACTTAAAGTGTAACAAACGATACTTAAATTGCAAAAACTATTCTGGTTTTACATCTCGAACGTGCAGAATCAGCGAAAACTGAAAAGTGTTACACAACAATTTTGTTTTGATTTTCACTGAATTAATTGTGTGCATCGACGACTTAGCATATGAAACGAGCCAGAACTCTCAGCTTTTGTGACGACCATGACAAATTGAGATTAATTTATCGTGCTTGGCGTTAGGTCTCGTTTTATATCATAAGTGTGGTAACTGATATACATAGTTGAAATATCTTAAACTGGAACGGATGTAATCTTCAAATAAAAGATATTTCAATCAATCTACTATACAAACACTATTTTATTAATTTGCTATAATTAACCTTTTTTTAATTAATAACAAAAAGAATAGTTAGAATGATTAACATTAATTGTGTATTGTTAGAGTACCGACAAACGGTGAACGTTTAACTATTTTCAAAGAAGGAGCGACTGAATGGCATATATATATATATATATATATACGTATTAGCTTCACCCACTTCTTTTGTGATATAACCTACTTTGTTTAGTTGTAACAAAGAAAGCGAAAAAAGAATAATAGTTCACTCCATACTTCATCCTCTTGCTTTTTTCTCGCATACAGTTGAGAAATATTACGTTCTGCTATTATGACCTTTATTATTCATTATTTTTCACATATCTT